ACTGGGAATTGCAGTCCTGGGGATTTGGGTGCAGGGCCACCAGGACCATCATCACTCAGGGCTGGGTGCACTGGGAATTGCAGTCCTGGGGATTTAGGTGCAGGGCCACCAGGACTATTGCACTGCTGCCTTCCCCTCACAGCAGGAGTCATCCCAAACACGGTCTCTGTAAGAAACACCAGCCACTGTTTGCTGCCCCAGGGAGGCTGGGAGAAACCAGACACCACACAAAAGGAATACTGAGCCACAGCCAGTTCATGCCTTACCTCAATAAACCCCTCACATTCCCCAGGAAACTCCCTGACCAAAATGAGGGAGCTCCTCCCTTTGTATCCCCTTCCCAAGGATTAGCTTCAGCCCGGCCCTGCCCAGGAGAGAGAAGCACAGCARCACTGTCAAAGAGAACTGGTTCATTTCTGCCTTCAGGGCAAGGTTCTTTAACCCCTTCCTGCTCTGACCTGATTACTTTGTGCCAGCTGTGAGAAATCTTGCACAAAAGCAGATGTTGAACACCCTAGCACTGAACCTTCCTACCTGATCCCCTCTTGAGCCGGGTCTTGTTGCTGCAGTCAAACCACACTGAAGGCTCTGCCTTGCTCTCCTTGTGTGCCCAGATGAAATCCCAGATGTTTACATCGTGGAGCGTCTGTTCTCCAGCAGCCTTGTGGTTGTGGTCAGCCATGCCAAGCCACAGCAAATGAATGTCTACCACTTCAAGAAAGGGACAGAGATCTGCAACTACAGCTATTCCAGTAACATCCTGTCCATCCGGCTGAACCGGCAGGTGAGAGGGSTGAGCCAGTGTTATCCCACTCTGGCTTTTTGTGCTGGTGCCTTTCCAGCTGGGACCAGTCTGGGGAGGATTGCAGGGAGAATGGAAGGGTGGGTGTCTGTCCTCTGCTGCCTGCCTCACATGAGAAGCCTCTGACAGGAGCAGAACGGCTGTGGGTGCCCTCTGCCACCACTTCAGGAAGATGAAGCCCAGTCCTTGTTTTGGTGGCAGTTACACAAAGATTTTTTGTCGTTTGCCTTCTTGCTTGTTCAGGACATAGCTCTGCCAAAATCTCACCTTTTCATCTTCCTCCCTCCTTTGGATTCCACATCCTGACTTCAGGCCCACCTCTGCCATCTTGATTGCAAATGAGACCTTCAGTGTTGGTTACAAAAATCCAGGAGAAACTTGAAACAAAAAGCTGCTTGCCAAGTACTGCTAGCAGCCATGTTTTGGTTTTAAAGGTATAAATCCCACTTAGGCCACATAAAATGAGGCTTTTAGAGTGTTATTCTCTGAACTGACACAGCCTCACGCAGCCCTGAGCTGTTTTGGAGGATTTTAAGTCATCTTTTCTTTTTGTCTGTAATTGTTTTCCAAGTATATGCCCTAAGAAGCAGAGGACATTTTACAATGAAGAAATAAGCRGTCTGGGTAATTGTATATAATCAGCTTCTCCTCAGTTAGCAACACTGAGACCTGCAGTGAGGCTCTCTGGGCTGAGCTTCCAGTAAAGCTGCCTTTGACCAGGAGTTCCTGTACTACAATTAAATCCTTCCTAAATTGATTTTTTTCACCTCAACTTGCAATGGAACTGGCAAAAGARACTTCTTTTGAATTGCAGATAGATRTGTGTGTRTAAAAATAAACTGGGAGGTTCTGCTGAGCAGCTCTAGGAGATGAGTGTGAATAAAATAAGTTCAGGCTGCTCCCTGTGTGCTGCTCTGGAGGTGATGCACAGTCCCAGCCTTGCATCCACATTTCTTGGCTTCCTTATGAGCTTGGGTTCAAATCCTGGGCTGAGCTCAGCCTCTGGCTGGGCCACAGACTTGGAGGGATTTGAAGATACTACAGGTGTTTAGAAACACAGAATCATAAAGTCATTTAGGTTGGAAAAGATTGATAAGATATCAAGTCCAACCATTCCCCAGGTGCCACATCCATTCATGTTTCCATCCAGGGATGGTGACCCCACCACTGCACAGGACTGCTTTTTCAATGCTTGAGAATCCTTTTTGTTAAGAATTTTTTCCTAAAGTCCAATCTGCATCTTCCCAATCTGGGTAGGTTGAAGAGAAATCATAGTTTTAATCTATGTTCAGCACTTAAACTGGTGACCATCAGCTCCTCCATGTGGCACTGGAACTCCTGCCTGGGCTTCTGTAGGAAAGCTGTGACTCCATTGGAAGTTCACGGAAGGACAAATCCCAGACAAGGCATTAACACAGAAAAAGGATGACAAATTAACCAGGAGCAGGTCTCAAACAAAARGTGCATGTTTCATTCTGATCTCTATGTGAAAAAGTCCTCATTGTGCAAACAAGCAAATTCTTTGTTCCGAGCTCTGTGATAACTCTGAGGTGTGTTCAGGTAAATCCTGATTTGTCTCARTGGGGAATCCAGCTCTGCTGTGGGACTGGTGAGAAGCTCTTGGAACCTTCCTGGGTTTTCATTCACTGAAACCCTGCTGAGCTCTTTGGAAAGGTGTGAAGTGTTTTTCTGGCTTTGTCCAAACGCATTTCAGCTCAGTTATCTGGCCTGGTCCATATCAAACTAAGGAMAAAGCTGGTGAACAAGAACATTTTGGACAATTCTCAGTGCTTTAAGCCTCTGTAGCAGTCACAGCACCTTTTCCTGGGCTCTGTGTGCACAGTGATGACAAACCCCATCCCACTGACCCCCACTTGGGCCACAGGGCTGCATGGAGGGCAGGGGGGGTGAACCAGCCCTCTCCAGCCCATGCTGAGCTTGTCCAGACCTCCTTTGCCTCTTCACCTCCCAAACTTTCCTGGATTTTGTCCCTGTGGGTGCCAGCATCTCTGGCTGCTGCTTTGCCATCATCTGGAAACTTCCTTTCACCTGCACTTCAAGAGCAGCCCRTTCTGGGAAAGCACGTGGTGGCTTTGCCCAAATCAGCTGTATAAATATTGCTCTGCTTGCAAGTGGATGGCTCTTACTGTAGAAAAGGCAAAATCTTCCTGGAAATGCAGAATGGCTCTGACACAGCCCCAGATGCTGTGGTTAGCAGGAATAGAAGTGGGAAAGGGTTTGATCTGGGAGTAATGGTGGAGCAAGGCAGAGATTTTTAATGTGGGTGTTTGAAGTTAGTGACTAAGCTCCACATTTAGATACCAAATAAGTGGCCTCATTTCTGAAGAGGTGGAGGCTTCCTGGACATGGATTCAGGATGGATGGGGTCTGGGCTTAGGCTTTTATTGGGATGTTTTCAGTGCCTCCAGACACTTGGCACTAAGGGAGGTGAAGCTGTGCACTTGCTGGACTTCCAAAGCACAGCCCAAAGCCTCCCAAAAAAAGCCTCCGTGGTGACACTTTGGGATGTGGACCAAGCTGAGACTCAGAGCTGAGTGGCCACAGAGGTGGTGGCCCAGTGCTGAGTTACAGCATCAGGCTTCCCTTTGCCTTTCTGCCTTTCTTCCCAATGCCTTGGCAGCTCCTCATGSCTGGGTGGATGTTCTTGATGGGGTCAGCAGAAGAGGTAAAAGCACCTGAACTTGGGAAAYTCATCCCCTCAGCCAAAATGGTGCAAGGGTGACTGTCCTGAACATGTTTCTCAGCTCTCTGCCTATGCAGTTCTGCAGGGCACGCACAGCAGAGTTTTCCCTGCTGACACCACATGGGAAAAGAAACATTCATGTGCTGGACAGGTGCATTAAGTTTAGCAGCAGTGGCAGCACCTCAGTGTTTTCTCCCAAATCAGGAAGAGCTCAGGGCAAAGGGAATTCCCATCTAGAGGCACATTGACAAGCAGGATTGCAGCCTCTCTGCTGCCAGCTTTATTGTATCAARAAGTAATTTGTTACAAACTGCAGAGTAAAGTTGGGGTAGAGATAGATGGCAGTCAAGGTCCGTGGAGGGGTGTAATCCTGATGTGTCTTCCTGTTCCTGGGGATGTGCAACATCAGCTCTTAGAGGAGCAAAGAAGAAGTCAACATGTTCTATGTTCTCTCTAAAGCAAGACCAGATGCAAAAACTCTCAAAATAGGAATCGTACAAACCCAAATGTGATCAGGGATGGAGAAGCAGAAGAAACCATGATTTTGCTACATTTCAGTGTGTGGGAAATCCCTGTTGAGTTTGTCTGACATSGAAGGTGTGGGTTTGGGAAGTGTGGGAGCAGCAGCCAGAGGCACTGCTGTGGTGAGGTTCTGTCATGTCCCCTGTGTCCTTGCAGAGGCTGGTGGTCTGCCTGGAGGAGTCGATTTACATCCATAACATCAAGGACATGAAGCTTTTGAAGACGATTCTGGATACACCTCCCAACACAACAGGTGAGCATGAACTGCATGAAAGGGAGGAAGCTTTTTAGAATCACAGCATTGTGTTGGAGTTCAAACCAGCCTGTGTCCTAATTCAGCACTGAGAAGGCAGAAATGCATGGAGACAGGCAAGGCAGGCTTGGGAGAATCACAGGATGTGCTGRGTTGAAAAGGACCCACAGGGATCACTGRATGCAGCTCCTGGCCTGCACAGCACCATCCCARCAATCCCACCCCRTGCCTGAGGGTATTGCCCAAACTCTCCTTGAATTCTGTCAGGCCTGGTGCCTTCACCCAGCTCTGTCCTGAGCAAACCCAGCTCTTTCTGGAGCAAACCCCTGCCCTGTCCAGAGCAGATGCATCAGAGGACAGCAGAGATGGGCAGTGGGGTTTGACTTCCCCTTGGGGCCAGCTCCCACCATGGGCACAGCCCTCATTCCCTGCCCAGCAGTTCCCAGGAGCTGCCCCCTGCTATCACTCCACAAACCCGAGGTGCAGGGCAGGTGGCTGCAGCACAGATCCTCTGTGTGTGGCACAGGGTGAATCCGGCTTTCCTGCTGCTGGGAGAGRARCTATTTTTAGCAGCAGGGAGGGAAKTTTGGCTGGCTGCCCGCGTTGCTGYGCTGTCCTGCTCGGCCTGCAGCATCCCTTTCATGGCTGGCTGCTCGGGATTTTGCTGATGTGCTCACGCTTGCCTTCGGGGCTTTCAAGGGATGCTCTTCCGGCAGCTCCCCTGACCTACTTCAGCTCTCACCAGATGGGCTCTCTGCGTGGATTAAACGTGCTAAATGCTGCAAATATAATTAAAGTTTAAAACCTTCCTGAGAAGGCCTGGCAGCAGGGTGGGCAGGCATACCCAGGCCTGGAGCTGTTCGGCACGGGGGCTGGAGGATCAGGTCATGGTTTAAGAGCAGCAGCAATCAGCCAGGGCAGGACTGGGACTACTGCAGATCACAGGCTTCACATGGGCTTAGTGTTTTAAACCCCTTTTACTGCAGCAGCTGTCGGTGAAATGAGCCGAGTGACAAGTGCACTGCCCCTGTTGTCCCTGGGCCATCTGCTTTGCTCCCAAGCCTGACCCTGAGGACAGCGTGTCCAGTAGGTCAGGGCAGTTCGGCCTCACTGCTCTTTGTGCAGCTGTTTTAGGAGTGGGGATCTGTGCCAGGGGATGTAGGAGYCCATGGAATGTGCCACCCCCTGAAGTGTGTGCCCTGGGCACGGTAACAGCGGCACAGACAGGGCTGGGATTTGCAGCAGCAGCACCAGCTGGGCACAGTGAGATCCCTGGCTGCTCCTGGCCAGCACCTGGCTCCTGATCCAGCCTCCTCCACATAGAAGAGGAAAATGCCCACGGTGTCCAGGACAGTTGTTTTCCATGTGATTCATGTCAAGGGCAGGGTTTKCACCAAGGAGGGGACGGTGCTTGCAGTGGCATGTGTGCCATGAGGGCACATCTTGGGAATGCCTGCWGCTTTGGAAACCACCTCATGGCTCCCCCAAGCCCTGGATGTGCCTGGACCCAGGGGCAAGGCCAGGCTTCCCAGACACAGCAGCATTTTTCYGTGCTGCTTGAGGAAGCCACCTGTGACGTGGCACTCCCAGAGGTGCCACCCTGAGCTGTGCCTCCTCCTTCCTGAGTCTGCCACTGCAGTCACCAACCCTCATCATGGCTGAGGGGCTGCTGAGGGGAGAGGAGCATCTTCAAAGGCTGCCCGTGGCCCTGTGATCCTTGAGCTTTGTGTGTCCCTGAGGTCAGCCCAGTACACTCACATCTGTGTTTTCCCCTGGCCTGGTTTCCCAGCCGCCTCTCCCGGCCAGAGGAGCAGAGGGAGCGGGTGACTCACTCCCAGCGCTCAGAGCTCGCTTTGTTTGGCTCCAGCCTTCCCTGATCCTCTCTGAAAGRGCTCTGCTGATCCCCCTGTGCTGCCTGTGCCACCCGGAGAAGGCAGGATGCTCATCACAGCAGCAGAGTCTGGGCTATCCTTGCCTTCCTCCCATCCCTCCCTCTTTAATTGCCTTTTAATTGTCTGCTCTCCCCGTGCCTCTCCCGGTGCGCCATCCCTGGCATGACGTGCACGCCTGTGGATGGATGGGGAGCGGATCCCCGGGGCCTCTGGCTGATCCTGCAGCTCCTGGCTCGCCTGCGGTCTCTTTGTTTAGTTATAAACAATGACCTAAAACGCGAGCTCCGGCCGATCCTTCCCTGCTGCTGCTGCTG